ATAAGGTGGGATTCATAGGCCGCCATTAGATCGGTGGATCCCAGTAGCTGAGTGGTCTACAGGTTGGCCTTGTAGCCGGAGGGTCCTGGGTCCGAATCTCCCCCCCCGCCTGCAATGTGTATGTATTGTGAAGAGTCTCAATGTAAGACAACACTAGTAGCTGTCCAGCACTCCCTAGTGGTTTTCCAATGGTTCTCTAACCGATACTGGCTCATAATCAATCCTATAAACAAAGTTGTCAATTTTAGTCAATGCATAAAAGTAGTCGAATAAGTAGTATATACTACAGTGTCACATAATAAGATGAAAAATTTTGATGGAGAACTATTTCATCCTCTTACTCTCTGCTGGTTTTCTTCCAATGGCGTTCTCTAACTGAAGTCAACTTGTGAGTAGACTTATAACCAATCAAATCCCCGCAAAACCCAACACTTGGTATCGATTATCGTCTTCCATGATGGCGGCGGTCCATAGATGGCTCGAATAATACAGTAGTAACACTTATGACTTTAGTAGTGGATGATACGGGTTCGAATCTCCGGCGATGTGTGTATGGGTGGGGGTAGGGGGAAGACACCCGGCGGGCATCATCATTACATAACATCAGTTCATCACTATTATTATTATTGTTTAATCCAGAAGTATTAAATTATATCCCAGCGAAGAAATTAATTTATTCCATATTAAATTTAATCCTTTGAAATTGTGTTTTTTTTCCACTCATATTTCCACCAGACTGCGTGTGTGCGTGTGTGTGTGTGCGCGTGTGAGTGCATGCCTGTGTGCATGTGTGCATCTGTGGATGTAATTCTCTTAAAGAAACGAATTTTCCCATCAGAGTTCCTATTTCCCTTCACAATGTAATTTAAATACCACAATGGTATGTGGTAGAATAGAACAAGAAATGGGAAATTTATTCTCCATCTTACTCCCTCGTCTCTCTCTCCCTCTCTCTCACTGTTGATAATTTTCAACACATTCTTTCTCTTTCGCTTTCTCTCTCTCTCTCTCACTCGCGCGCACGAGCGAGCGAGCGAGCGCTTTCATCTCTCTCTACTTCGTAAAAAACAAAGCTGTTTGCTTAATTCTTTCCTTTATGTGTTGCTGAAATATCGTCAAAATATTCCTTCCTTCCCAGTTATTATTATTATTATTATTACTATTATTATTGTTATTTAGTACAACTCTTGCATAATTATCATTGTAATTAACTAGTCAGCCAACCAGCCAGTCAGCCAGCTAGCCAGCTAAGAGTAGGTAGGGAGGGAGGGAGGGAGGGAGAAAGAGAGATAGTGAGGTAGAAAGGCTAGGTAGTGAGATACAATATTTTTTTACAACCCATATATGTATACTTGATTCACTCAAATGAGTTCACTTACACATTTGAGAAAAACAAGTAAAATTGAGGCTTAATTTCCTATCGTCTAGATACTTACTCTGTTCGCCTTCTGTTATTTGGTGTTCTATTCCCTGTGTAATAACTTTTCTTCTTCTGTGTATCCCTGTGTCTGTGTGTGTGTGAGTGAGTGTGTGACTGTGTCTGAGTTCTGTTCTACTCATATCTCTGTTCCACACACACTTACACACACACACACATACACACACACGTAGATGATCAGACAAAGGAGAATCGTATTTTATTCATCACAAAGAATGTTGATTATTACTACGATTATTATGATTACTATTATTATTATTAATATCCCTTCTGTTTTTTTGGTGTTGCTTAATTCATTTTCTTTTTCATGAATTTATAGTTTTGTTTTTCGGAGTGAATATCTCCTCAGTTTACACCTTTCATTATTTCTCTGTTTTCTTGCCCTCCTCTCACCCTTCAATTGACAAACACCCTCTGGCCCGTCTTCTTCTTCGTGTTCATCTCCTCTCATTTATGCTACTTCCGTTGGGAATAATGCATTTTTATTTTTATTCTTTCTACGTTTGTTACTTATTATTATTATTATTATTTGAGCCATGTATTTTCCAAATAATAATTTGGTTATTACTTTATTTGGATAAATGAGTTGAACTACTTATAAGTCAATTAAGTAGTACTCTGACAAGGCATATTTTGATTAGTAATAGTATTTAGTGAGTTGGGGATCTAATGGTAGGAGGCTCACTAACGGCGCCCCCCCCTCCACACACACACACACACACGTGGTATGGGGTTCGATTCCAAGCTGATGAACTCTTGAACCTCACCTAGGTGATAGTAAGCTAGGATAAAGGCTAGCAATCTCAACACATAAAGCTTTGAAACCCTTGGAATGCCAAGGGATGAATTTAGTGCCAAGTGGTTTTTGGTGATAGTGGTGGTGGGAGGGGCAATCAGCAGGAAGTCGTAGCTTAATCCACATTTCATGCTTGTTGATAATCGTGTCAGCTAGGCGTATATCCGTAATCCTTCTCAGATATTCGAAGCTGTTTCAATCGGACGCTACACATTACTGCCTAGAGCCATTCAGCATCATGAGTATTTGTTGATTCTGTCTGTCTTCTACCAGCCATATTTACCAGGTTGCGACAGGTTTGTGAGTGTGTGAGTGTGTGTTGACTGAGATGGTACAAGTGGAACCACTGCCTTCCTTCACGAGTATTTTTAGCTATCTAAGGATTAGATTTGACGGTTAGTTTAAATTACGTAATGGGGGATTGTAGACTGTCTGGTTGGGAACTTCAGAATGCTAAGAACCAATGGTTTGGAGACCCTTGATTATAGGGTTGAAAATCGTTCTCACTGGTGATTAATCCTACATGATTTTTCATGTTATCATCTTTTCTCCCTCACTCACATTTCTGCTTATTATGACCTTGTAAGCAAGAGGTCCTAGGTTCAAACTCCGTGGGATACGTACTTCTGAAGAGTCCCAAGCTGGGACAAAACGGCTGTCCAATACACCCTGGTTTCCATTTGGTTCTCTAAGTGATACCAATTGGTGATCAAATCGCTGTAGTCCTTTTAAATCTTTTTTTGTTCTCTATCTTTGTGTATCAAATGAAGTGTGGCAACTTTGAAGGTCTTTCAGAGTTCTGCGTTGAAACTCAATCAGTCCGAAATAAGGCGGAGTGCTCTTCCTGGATTCTCCTGCTTACTAGTTACCACTAACTAGGCAACACAAATACATGTCTAAGAAAGCCATGGTTTATTGAATATTGAATTTGTTCTTTTAAACAATGTTAAACACAACTGAACAGTTCAATTTTTGATTTTTATGCTTCATTCAAAGGAAGTGAGGTAAAATCAAAAAAAGTGAATACCCAATTTATTGTACAATAATTAATCGTATTACTTACGCAAATATTCCTTAACTTATTTGTAAATTCCCTATTATTTCTTTTTCACCTATTTATTTCTATATCTTTTTTCTCTACTTAGTCTTTAAAGGTTGAAGGTTATTGATGGTCGGAGAGGGAAAGAGTGATTCAAATTTGGATTTCCCTGCATTAACTAATGTTTATTTGATCAGCTGACTAATGATTTGTGTGCTTTTTGAGGTCTACATGACGTAATTTTGTCTATCGGGATGATAATTTGACTAGTAAAGGTTTGTTTTGAGGGGTATAGTAGGTCATACTGCATATCTATGAATTTTAGATGTTGCGGGAAGCGTGGACTCTCTGGTTTTAATTATTATTATTATCATTATTCTCACTCCCCTCTTTTATCCGGCTTCTTAATTGTACATAAGCTTTCATATCCTGCATACCATTGGACTCAAGCCCGAATTGTCACTTTCCATTCCGGTTCTATTCAAAGGCCTGGCTTGTGTGAGATGACACTCAACAGTTTTGTCAGTATGTGTTTGTCTCCATCTTTGGCATATTCGTCGGGTGATAGGTTCTCGGTTGGCTCGTTTCCAGAGTTCTTTATTAGACATGATGGAGAAGGTTTGTAGATCAGCTGGATGATTTTGATGTGGTTGTGTTCTCTAAGATGGTGGATGGTTTATTTGTGAAGCTTTCATTGCCCTACTTACTAGGCAATATCTTCAATTTGAAATGAGCTTTTAGATTGCTCCACGAGGTTATTAGTCATCTCTCCTGGCGGGTGACCTTGAACGTGATAGGTTGGTTTTTTGTGTTTTCACACCCTCTAGGTGGCTACTTGTATTGGTATTGATGTTGATTGTTTCATTAACCTGAAATTTGACCTCTTGTGCATGAGATATCCTTCTTATCGATTCGTAAATTTTGTCTATGTCAATATGTCTATTGGTTGACGATCCACTGGAATACCAGACTGGCTTCTAGAAATTCTCCGGCATTCTTGGTGTTTTTCCCTCTATCTTTCTAATATTTGAACGTTGTCCCAGTTCTTTATTATTTATGCTTTTCTGGTTAGCCATTGGATCTTCAATATGGAGTGAAGGCAGTCTGTTAGAAATTTTTTTATTTATTTATTTTTATTTTTTATTTTTGACTACAGCTTGATTCCACACTGTCTTTTTTTGTACAAGTATGGAATTTTCACCATGGATATTGGTAGCCCAAATTTTGCAGGCCGACCATAGATATCAGGTGTGCGTCGGCGTGGGCTCGAACCCCGGATCATGTGCATGGTCGGCGAGAGTCTTAACCACTGTGCCACCGACGCACACGTTAGTCCATTTGGGTTGATGCAAATTCCCAAATAAGTAAAGTGGTCAATACACTCTAACCACTTCACTTGTGCCTATCTTTAAACTAGAAGTCGGTGTAGTCCACTCCTTGGACCATTGACAGGAGCGAATTGCATGCTAAGCATTCGAAGATTTCTGATCGAGTTGTGTTCAGAAGACTCTGCGGTTTATTGGCTTCTTCCCCCAAAGAGGACGGTATCACCCGTGTATACTAAGTTGACAAGAATGTCCCTGGTAGCAAGTCAATTCCTAAGTCACCGAATTCAATTAGAGGTAATCCCTTGGTATAATTTAAAATCGATTAATTCATTAATAATGACATAAATGTTTGTGGCAAATAACTAATTTAGCCTTTCTCTTTCTTCTTACTTTTCAAAGGTCCATGTTTCCTGTCCAGTTTAAATGAACGCGATCTAACACCGACAAAATCATGGGGTGATCATATCACATTCGATTGTGATGCTGTTATGGCTGGAACTGATGGTTCACTAGATAATTTAATTTATAATTGGGAGTTTATTAGCAATAATATTATTAATAGTAACAATAATAATAACAACAATTTACGATCTAGTGGTCAGAGCAGTAGTAGCCTCGGTGGTATTAGTGTTGACGGATCAGATTCCACAGGTATTTTGCACAGACAACGTCTTCTCATCCGAACACCATCGATTGCTTCATCAAGTATTTCAACTAACAATAACAATAATAATAAACTAGATCTTAGTCAATTTCATGAATCACAATTAAGAATCGATAAGTTAACATTAGATCATAATGGAGAATATCGATGTGCTGTAAAGACAATTACACCAATGAGTACAAATCAACTTTCATCACCAATGGTGATTACAAGAAGTTTTCGTCTAACTGTTAAATGTAAGTTTCGTTCTTGCATTCATTCATTCCTTTGTGTGTTTATCAATTATCAATTAGAACAGACCAGTACCTCAGGGTTAAAATGATGCCCACACCGAAATCAGCCAATCAGATTGAAGCACGATTAGAGATTAGCCAATCATATTTTTTGTATTGCCTACAACCTAGAGATTTTTGTCCATTTAGTTGAGTTAAACAATCGACATTAAATAATTATGCAAAAATGTGTACCAGCTAATTATAATGACTATTTTGATAATAAAACGTTCACAACTCTTAATTGGTAGAAACTCAAGGTTCCAGAATAGGGTCGAAAGTAGGACCTGGATGTTTGTTACAAAGTGGTGAAACAGCTAAAACTGAAGTTAATGGAATGAGATTTTTATCAGGGATACATTCACTGACTGGAAGTAGTTGACTGTTTATACACAAATGAGCAACACATCTATCTTCACGTTAAATAGGTACTGGGAGTTGTCTTCAACGGCTGTTGTTTACATTCTTGTCACTGTTATTGTTGTTTGCTTAGTTACACTTCAGTGATTCATCAAAACCGTTTAATTGAATCCTGTCAATAGATTTATTCAACTGTACCAACTGTCTGTCATTCTCTTGACTAGATAATATTGACAGGGGGATTAGAAAGGTCGGGGCGAAGGTGTAGGCTCGTGCATGCACTTGCGCGTGGATCATCACTTCCATTTGATTGTTAAGTTTGATAATAGGGAGTTTCTGTGAAATGATTTAACTACTAATATGTTATTTCCCCCTCTCCCTTCAGTGTGAATATTGTTTGGTAGTGTTATTGTGTATTTTAATTGACACCTTGCTTTCAAATATATATGAATTCTTTAGGGAATACATTTGAGCATGCGTGCTTTCATGCCTTTGTAGATAGACAGATAGATCGTTTCAAGTCACAGACTATTGAAAACTTGTGTCAAAATTATTTCAATCCATAAATTTGTATTCAGATTGATAGACAGATGATTCATATCATGATTCCCACGGATTCATACCCTGAAATTCACTCACTCACTCACTCACGCACGCACGCACGCACGCACGCACACACAGACACCAACGTGCCATATCTTTATAGATAGGCGTACAAGGCTTCTGACGTTTACTGTTTACTATTATTATTATTATTATTCATATTACTGTTATTATTTAATGAGTGATTTTCATAACAAGTTATAAAACCACCACAGAGCAACAATAACTACAACAACAACAACGACAAGAGGAACAGCTGTTCTGGTATTTTGTTTATAAACTCAACCCGCCCCCTCCCGCGCTTGTCTCTCTCTCACACACACATGCACCCAGATATCTTGTTGTCTAACATTTTATAAAACACCTAGGAATTAAAATTGTTCTCTCATCTTCTTTTATGAGCTGAAAACAATGTAGAGATGGATGTGCCTATCCATGCAAGGAGTGTATATATATATATATATAAGCAATCCTAGCAACTGCATCTGTTACACATACATTTTTAATTATGTAAACAGATGAGTTAATGCATATACAACCAACCATGTAAAAATATATCAATCAACCTTTATTGTTCGTATACATATTATTGTTATTATTAATACTACTACTAATACTATGGGTTATCAGTAGTATGGATATGAGTATTTTTTTTCCTTTTGAAGTCTTTCTTTTTTTATTTTGTATTTAACACCTGCATAGAAAAAAATTGTTCATCTTTTATTCAAATTTTATTTGAATTTCAAAACTTCACGCCTCGGTATATAACCAGATAAATAACTAAGTAAAACTATGTGTCGATCAGCGGATAGATAAGTATGCACATTTGTGTATTTATGTGTGTGTGTGTGTGCGTGCACGCGAGTGTATTTGTGTAGATATATGGAAAAGAAATTAAGATATTTTATTTGGCGGCGGCTATTCGTGAAAGACATATCCGTACAACAACAAAGGAAATAAATAGAAATTAACTATTAGTTGAAACATATATTTGTATACATAAGCATCATTTATAGGTTGGAGGATTTTTTTCGGCGAATTATTATATACTACTGATATTAGTATAGGTGGTTAGAAGAGATCGACAGGAAGAGTTGTCCGACATGGGTTTCGTGCTTGTCGTCACTTACCAGTGAGCAGGAAATCGAGTTGTTTTTGAGATTTGAAACAAGGTTACTTACTGCTGCTGTAGTCAAAGACGTAAGGAGGGAAAATCAATCGACGAGACTGAGAAGTCACATCACTTGAGATGGCTAGGACATGTGTTACGCATGCCTAGTCCACCCATCACCTTCCTCGACGGTCAGTCTAAGCTGACTGATATAACAGCAGGCTGGAAAAGAGCTAGCGGCGGTCAAACCAAAACATGGCTTCACCAGTCAATGAAATATACAACTGTTAGTTTAAGCCAGCCACGTAGGAAGGTGTAGACTTCCTGACTGACTGGTTGGGGTCCTCGGGACGGTAAAAACCAATGGTTGGGAACAGTTGGTGATATGGTCCAAAGTGATCGTTTTCAATGACAGCGCAGTGAATCCACTCCTTGTGACTTATGATTTCCAATGAAGCTACATTGTTCTTCTTTACTTCTATTTCTTTGTCTCTATTATACATTTCTTCTACTTTCTTCTCTTGGTTTGTGTGCTACATGAAGTGTGGTGACTTAAACTGTCGCACATGTGTGCAAAGTTCTATGTCGAAAACAGACAGACAGATAGACAGAGATGTTACGATCACTGAGTTATTCGGGTTGGCGATCGACCCTCTATAGGACTGTAATGGGTACTTTAGTTGCGTTTACTCCCTGTTGTTCTGATGCAGACTGAGTTTTATCAGCAGTAATATCTTCAACTGCCGTATTAGATGGCCTGGGTTCGAATCTAAGGAGAGATATGAATTCCTCCAAGACTGTATGTAGATAAGCAACACTGACTGGTAAGTGTCAGCAAGCATCAAAACTTATGCCGAACATAGCTTCCTGCTGACTGCTTCCAGTTGTGATGACAAGCCATCTGGAATGATGGTGATATATATATATATATATATATGGATACATATCAGATGGTTTCCACAATGCAAACTTGACTGTCCCTTGGCTTCTCAGTGGAACATACTGTTTCAGCAGAACGTCTGCATTTCTTCTCTTTAATTTCTACAGTCCTTTTTAGCTGACTTCACGATTCCCCGTAAGCTTTCATTTCCGCCAACTGATACAATCTCGTCTATGTCACCTTTGGACTGACGTTCAACTCATCCATTCTCATTCGAGACTCTGGTGCGATCTTACTCATCGGTCTCCTCAGCGTATATCGATTCTATCTCCATCTCCTTCTGCTTATTTGTTGGGCGATAGAAGATTCTTGGTCGGTTCGTTAACCGATTTCTTAGATGGAGCTAGCGGATAGGGCAGCTGCTGGGAATTCTTTTGGGGATATGAGTGTTCTAAGTCTATGAAATATATAGAAGCACTAGCCAACTCACTAACTAACTAACTTTGGCACTAGTGTTGAAAATGAGATTCTTGTTCGAAAGGCCTGAACGCTACTCATTAGTAAATACCTAATTTCATTCCCTTTGAAAAATACTCCCTTCTGCTTGTGTTGTTTTGATTGCTGTACTTGTATGACTAGGCATTTGGTATTATTTTGAGCTCAGTATGTCTATTTGTAAATAGATAGATAGATAGATAGGTAGAGATAGTTGTAGTAATGCTGCACATTTATGCGTCTGTACATGTTACTTCCTTACTAACTAACTAACTTGCCTAATATTCAATTTCCTTTGTAATCTGTCACAATCTTTTGACAGTTGTCTAGTTCAACCTCTACTCCTCTCCTCTCCTTTTGCTCTCCATCCTTTACTCTACCTACTGTACTCCACTCCAGTTTGTAGGACATATCATTTCAGAGAGAGAGAGAGAGAGAGCTATACACTACTCTATACACTACAGACATGCTCACATCCTGTTTTGACATGTGTTGTACTCATCAGATAGGCTATAGTGTGATCATTATGATCTGGCATCTCTCTCCCTTTCCCCCCCCTCTCTGTCTCTCCCTCTGGTAGAATTTAATCAACATCTCGTTCGCCAACTATACAACACTAATTTAAGGATATGGATATATGCATACATATGTGTATAGCCTTAATGACATGACAGTCATCATTCTCATCACACTGGACAGGAAATGTCAAAAAAAGAACGACAACTAAGTTTTAAAACAATGAAGGATGTGAGGTGGGGAGGGGGGGAGGGAGTAGAGATGTCTCCTGGCATTATTCACTCATTCATTCATTCCCCATCTTTTTGTTAATCAGCAAAAACATTGGTGCCTATGATGACTGTGATTATTTTTTAATTAATTCCTATTCACTCATTATTATTATTATTATTTATAAGAGTAAACATCGTCGTCAAACAGCGTGATCAACAATGACAATAATAATAATAATAACAAGTATAACAACGAGGCTGTCGTCGGTGTCATCCTCTTATCTCGACTACACTACCCTATTCTACACTAAACTGCTGTCGTCGTCGTCTGTTGTCATTTCATCTGTCTTTGTCTCCACCTCTCTCTCTCTCTCTCTCTAGTTAATGACAGTAATATGTGATCCATTGTCAAACACAATTAATAAATCCAAATAGTTATGATTGACTTCCTGTGTGTGTGTGTGTGTGTGTGTGTATATATATACCCCTCTGTATTTGTACGTGTGTATATCTACGTGAATGTTTGTATGAGTAAATGACAAAATACTTAACAGACAGGTGTATATATAAGTAGTACATTATCAGTAGTAGTAATGTCAGTAGTCTATTAAAAAAAGATTTAACTGTAGTGTATACAATTCAATATGTTCAATGCCACATAAACACAAAGTGTTTACCAACACACGCATAAGAAGAAGATGACGATGTCGATTGTGCGAAAATTGACACTTGAATAGATATGATTTGTTTTTTTGTAAATACAAACTGTATGTACGCGTGTGAACGT